CTTGTCACAGTTGTGTATGAAAGGTTGCTCCACCTGGTTGTGCATCCTCCCCTAGGAGAAGCAGGTGGATGTTGACAAGAAGAAATCTGGGGAAGAAGCTGGGTCTCACATTGTACCCAGGCCTGCCCTGAGTCCTGCTGCCTGGGTTTGGACCATCCAGTCCCAGTCTGCCTGAGCATCATGAGCCTCACAACTCATTTGAGACTGCAGCACCTCATGCTTAGAGCAGGAAATGGCAGTTACACCCCTGAAAGCCAGGTGCTTTGGAGCAGACAGAAATAGTCCTCGTGGAGTTTCTGAATCAGCTAGTATAATTCACCAGATTCCACAGAAAACTAAATAACAGTTTTGTGTGTCAGAAAGAGACCACAGGGAACTTGGTTGTCATCTACAGAAATTAATGGGAGAGATTGTGTTCCTGTTCAGTAGTTCATTTTCAGAAGGTGATTTAGTCACTTGTTTTCCTCAATCTAAAACCATCAGCTTGTTTTTCAGAAGAGAAACTAGATTAGAGAGCCTGAGAAGCTGTGGGTTTTTTTCACAGCTGCCTCAAGCAGGACCCCCCAATACTTCAATTGGCCTGGGCATCTTCCCTCAGCTCCCTGTCTGCTGTCTCCTTGGGGAGGTATATCATAGGGAGAAATCAAATCAAAATTTACTGCAAGATTAAAGGCACTGGAGATCAGAGCAAGTTGCAAGGAACCACTGTGCATTAGATTAATACTCAGACCGATGTTGCTTTGAATTCCACTCCAGCTTCGCAGATTACCAGAGAACAATAGTCAAGTTGAAACAAAGCCATTGCCTCTTAGAAGTGATCACGCTTGGCTGGAACTTGCTCCATCACTGTCTGCACTAATCAGTCACTTCACAGCTTGCCTGGCACCCTCTTGGGTCTGCCCCCCCCCATAGCCCCTCCTTCCCCTCTCATTTCTGCTTCTTCCCAACTTCTTAGGCTGTTTGGAGAGAGCTCAGAGGGACATCTCACTAGATGCAGAGCATAAACTTAGGAAATATAAGGCTAGATCTGAGCACAATGCGAGATTTATTTTGCAAACTTGGTAGTTTGTCAATTTACTTTGTTTCTCAAGGTAGATTTCTCTCTGCATCAACAAAGGCAATAATCTTTAGCTCTGCTACCTTCCTTTTTTCTATTCCTATTATACAATGAAGAAAAACTGACTCAAGGCTAGTGGTAAGAGAGAGCACAGGCTTTAACTATCACACTTCTCATACAGCATTTTGCTAACTCCTTTGCTAATAGAGCAGGTAGAAAGAAGAATGAGAGGGGCCATTCTCTCCTTGCTCTTTTTCTTTTTTCGCTACTCTGAAAGTTTTGAGTACTTTCACATAACTACAGAGCTAACAAAAATTAGAAGTAAAGCCCCTTTTGAAATGTGGAAATTCAATATTAGAAATGTGATGACAAGACACAAATGTAGCTGTTTGAAAAGGTTTGCTGAACAGGGAACATAGGGCTGTTGTACAGTTCCTGCCCAGGAAGAATGAAGAAAGCAAAAGGAGCAGGCTGTGCGGAGACAGAGCAGCAGATAGTCTGAGATTCTTTTAATTGAAAATTGAATCCAGCTTCATTCATTATATATTTTTTATGAAACTGTGGAATGAAAAAGAAAAGGTTTCAATGAAGCACGGGGCTTCCAGCTTGCTCAAGAATATCACAAAAGCCTTATTCGGTTTCCCTTGAAGCCAAGAGAAACATGTCTTTTCTGGTTCAATTTTCAGCTCTTTGAAGCAGAAACTCACTCTTTTATGTGTCCCTACAGTGCCCGGTGCAATAGGTCTCCTGTCTCAGCAGGGGCTTTTAAGTGCTACTGTAATAAAATTAATTAATCATAATTTTTAATGAACTCCTTAATATTTTCAGTATCATCCTTGACAAAAACAGTATGCAGACTGAAAAGGCATGAAAGTTTAATTTAGAATATGGTAAAGAGAACTTGTTCTTATACCAAAATCTAATTCAAAAGCTGGTAAAAATGCTGTTTATACTAAGCAGATACAGAAAGAGTACTAGCAGTGTAACAAAACAGAAATCTACACCTTACAAGTATTTGTAGTATAAAGATTAAGTGTTAGATGGATGAGAGATGCACTAGCACGTAGGGATACTATTTATGACTTTAAGAAGACCAAGCTGCACTATTATCTATCTCCATCTACATGGAAATGAAGGGCTGCTCAGAGACAGATGTCTAAATCTTCCTGGTGCGATTCCTCCCCACTCTTTTGTAAAGTAGCACTTAATATTGACTTCTGCACTGCTATCATATAACTTCTGAGTTAGCCACTGAAATGAAAGGGCCAGTTCACTTCTCTCGGTGGCACTGGTTCAGGTTGCAAATGTAGGCAGACACTGCCGCATCAGTCTGAACTTCAATAGATGTTTTTAAGGCTTATTTTTCACAGCAGGAGCAGAAATGAAAAACGAGATTCAATTGTACATGTTGGCAGCCTGGGAGAAGTGCCAGTATGTCATAACCCCATGTACCAGCCCAGCCCCTTTACTTTGTAAAGTACAATTATTGTAAATTGATTCAGAGCCTGGCAAACATATCAGAGGCGTACGTATGCCATCTCTAAATATGCATACACAGTACACATAAATGATCCTGGTTTTCTTATTCTTTCTGGTAAAAAGAAGTTAAAAGCCTTAATCTGAACTACCCTTTTTCCTCAGCTAGGGCAGATTTCTGTCTAAGTAGATTCTCGAGGCTCTCCGAAGAACATAGGTATCGCAGAAAGGCTCATCTCCCCTGCAGGAGATGCACAGCTTTAGCACTTCCCCTCTCTTTCCATTAGCTACAGTGCATCCTAGACAGTTAAATGAGACTTAAGCATCTTAAACTTGGTAGGATTAAACGCTTGGTATTTGGATGTTTAACATAGTTTGAGTGGAATCATTGTATAGCTCCATATCAAAGAGCCACAAATCTATCTAAAGTATGTTGGTTTTATACTGAGAAAGCAGTCAATTCTAAAGTCTACTTTCTGTGTTAATTTGCAACCAGAATAAAGTATTAGGTCCATTGAACAATACAAATATTTGCCTTTCATAATTTACAGTTATAAAATAACAATAAAAGTTACAGTAGAGAAATAAATATGCCATTACCGCAGAATTTAATCTTCTGTATCCATAACATCAAGCAAAATATGTCACTGAACAGACAATCCCATATGGATGAATAAGAGGAAACTTTTTTCCCTGCAAATTATTTTTCTAAAACATCCGCTGTGTGATAAAGCTGTGGGATTAATTAATTTAGCACGCATCTATAATTGCCTTATCACAATCCCTCTCTCTCAGGACTAATGCTAATGATCCAAACCTCTAAGCATCTTCAAATGACAGGCTTTTTTCTAATCATAGCATGCCACAAAAATATTTCCTTAGCTTCAACACATATGGAACTTTTGTACTTACTACATACAGGTACTCTATTTATAGACAGACTGCAAGAGTGCACAGATATTGCCACTACCTTACACTAGAAACCATTTAAAAAATGTGTTTTTTTCCTGTTGATCCTAAGTATATTGGAAAGCTAAGTGCAAGACATAACTCATATGTAGCTATATAGGTGTATACCATTCTTATATCATAGTAAATCAAAATATTTTAAACAAGGAGACACCACTGGATCAGCTGCACTAAGCTGATTTAATCAAGTTATTCTTTTAGAGAGCTCATTACCTCATATTTAGCTCAGTAAGCATCCAGTTCTTGACTTGACTGTCTTAACATGAACTTCATATATCAACTCACATTTTTTATAAACACATATCACAAGATGCAACAAAGCATGGGTGTTTTTTTTAACCGTGAACATTTATTTGCATTAGTTTACTTCTACTGTATTCACACTTCTTGTGTATCTTTTCTAAATAGATGAATAAAATGCATCATGAACAAGTATTCAGGAACACTCAAAGAGAGACATTATTGAACTTTTAAGTGGATTCAGCAGAAAGGTCATTCTGAAAAGTTCAGCTGGACAGAGAATAAACAGTTACCTGACCTATTTGAATTTCACAAATGAAACCAACCCTAAGCCAAGAATTATTCATAGAAATTACTCAACCAATAGTTAGAATAACTATATTACATTCAAGATAATTTAAGACATTATAGATGACTGGCAACAAAAAAAAAGATACATTATTAACTGCGTTTCAAAAAAAATATTCCTGACAAAAATAATTTTTCCTTTCAAGGTAAAATGTGTACCATGATTTTATTTAAAATCCGGATCTTGGGTAATGTCTGACCCCATGAATAAGCATAGCAGGTGACCAGCAAGCTCTCACTAAACCCACCAGTCTGCTCAAAACCATAACCTGAAAATCCAGCAGTCCTAGCCATGTAGGCCAGGAAACAGCAATGGTAATTACATTTATTATCTAAGGAAAGGGACTGTGAAATGACGAGCACGACTTGCAGCAGGTACCTGCAGCCTTCTGGGAGGAACCAACGTGTCCTACAGCCCCCTGGCACTGAGGCTTTTTACTTCAGCAAATGTGCCACTTTGTTTCACCAACATATGTGAGCAGTCTGGAATAAGTCTGTTGGGGGAACAGTCACTGCAAGTCTTCCTGTCTTTCTGGTACTTTAAATATTTTAATCTCCAACTAAAATATGTGCGTGATGAGCAAGATAAAGCAAACTCTTTAACAACCTGTCTCTTCTTTTTGGACAAGCAAGCCCTGACTTAACAACACATGGGAGAAGATAATCAGCACTTCCCAAGAAGGCCCTTTTTTAAAATGACATCTTGCTACAATAATTTTTAGTCTGGTTTCCAGCAAAACTAAGACTTGCAATGTCTATCTATGTGTGTCTGTTCCAGTTCATTCGCTAACAATTTTTTGCACTATTTGGGCAATTTCAAATTCAAACTTGACAGAGGTAAGACTTTCAAATATATCTAGTCTCTAAAAACATTAGTTAGCAACTGTGTCAAATAGAGACAATTACTTACTTTCTGGAGGACAGTCAGAACTCAGTGCGGATTTATCCTGCAGAAGTCAGAAACCAGCCAGGAGGTCTCATAGCATTCACCCAGCAGCTACAAGAAGCAAAGGGAGAAGACAAATAGGGATTAGAAGAGCATTGGGTATGAGATTATAGCAAATCATATTCTACTAGATTACAGAATATTTTATTTTTAAATAATAATTTCTTTAAGTTTTTGTACAAGTCTTCCAATCAATTATTTTAAATCCATTTCTAAGTGTTATACCATTTTTTTTTCCTGCTTCTGGATTTCTGTTTGCAAAAGTGCCCACTAAATAAACTTCTGCAGCACTGTAAATACACTTTCTTGTGTCTTGGTCCAGCCGTTCAGCAGAACAAGTCTTCACTAATGAAGATATGGATACTTTAACAGCTGAAATTTGATGGAAGAAGGAAGGAAGAGAAGCACCGGCAGAAAGAAAAGTGAGTCAGAATCTGGCACTGACTGCATCTTCAGAATCGGTGAAGAGCAGGAGGAGTTCTCCTGTATTCCAGCTCCTATGGCACTCTGCTAGCCTTGTCAGGCTTGCTACAGTTATGGGGTCATCTTCCACACTTATGGATAAACTCATGGCTGGTTTAAATGTTATTCCTTTAATCAGTAACATATTTAACGTCCCAAGAGGGACACTTCTCATTAGACAATGAAACAAAATGATTTAATCTCCCCAACCTGCTTAATTTTATCAACACTTCGACAAATCCAGAGCTCTTCCCCAGTCAGACTGAGAGAGAAGCAATGGCCCACGATATGAATGAAAGCTTCTCTTATTTCTTCTTTTTCTAATCTCATTTTAATTTTTGTAATTCTCACTTTTCCTCCACTTTTAAGATGACTGCAGCCTCTTGCTTTGTCTTTTGCAGAACTAAAACTATTTTCAGAAGCAGTAGGTTCAAGGAATGAGAAATAACATCTATCAAACTTGTCCAGTTGGTTTACTTGATCTGTGTAATACTTCAAGACACCTATTATTACAGACTTACTGGACTTCCTCAATCCCCTTGAACGCTCCACACTTCCTATCTTTTTCCTTGATAAGAAAACCAACAGTACAATCTTAGCAGCATTTTTCCTTTCCCTCTTGAGATGTGTATCCTTACAGACTGTGATCCTCTCGATTCAAAAGTGTTCCCTGACTAAATGCCATTGAATCTTGTAGCTTCAATGCTACTCCCACACCATACGTATTTTCTATAGTGATCATGGCCCTTTTCTCACTTCTTGCACAAAAGCGTGCTGAGAATGAATGTGTGGAAAGGCCATGACATCCCCCTTAGTGCGTATTGTGTTCTCTTTCCTTTAGCCCATGGAAGGCTGCAACAACCACAGCTGATAAGGGACAGAGAGAAAATGTGTTACAGAATAAAGTGACAATGCAACAAATATAACTCATGTGAGAGAAAGGATGTGTTATTGCAGGAAGGCAATAGCTTTGTGTGATGCCCAAGGTCAGACTGCACAGCCATAAAGGCAATTCCTGGCTTTCTGACCCACCAGCTGAGACTCTGCAGAGGAAAAGAGGAAGCAGAGGAACATCACTGTGTCTGGTCTCAGTGCACCAGCACATTGGTGTGGAGAAGATGAGACACAGGGCTACAGGGGGCTGTTCAGTCTAAATGCACACTTCTGTGAGTAACATCAGAAGAACAAATGCTCAGTGCCAGAATACACTTATCTCTTGAATTACTGAACAGACAATAAATCAGAAACCAAAATGGTTCCATCCCAGTTCACATGTTCAAACCCATTTTCTTCTATTATGATTCAAATGAGCCTTCCCTCAAAAAATAAACCACAGTGCTAGGAGAAATCATTGGTCCTACAGCTGTGATGAGGTAATGAATGAGCCATGACAGTGCTCTTGTAGAAGTTCAAACAGCTTGAGCTTGCTTCAGTCATCTTTTCCTGCGGTGGTAACATCCTGCAGGATGTAGTTTTGAGTCATTTTGGACACTGTCGTTTCAGATGTTGTAAAATCTTGAACACAAGGGAAGGGACCAGGGAAAGAGGGGAGGAAATAGAAATCACCATCTGACATCAAATATCCAGCCCCTTATGTCATTGCAAGATGTCCATGTGTTCTCGTGACAGCCACCAATGTGATCAAAATGTGCCTACAGCTGGCATGGCAGAAGTGCCAAGTCCTAGAAACCACCTCTTGGGTTGTTATTATAACCTACATAAGCAAACGGGGTCTGCAACATTTGGTCAGTAGATTTGGGTTTTCTTTTCACATATCACCCTTTCCTCCTTCTGGGCAAAACTTAGAAGAAGTTTGAAATTAACACATTCCTGTTAATTAATGATGATACACTGGAAAAGAAAAAGGCAGTTGCACGATTAGCAGCACTGGCATAGGTTACTTTTCTGCAGATTTCTCAAGAGCTGATTCTCTTGAGTCTCCCTGTAGCGTTGAGCTGACATCACAGCCTTCCCTCTAAGAAGGCATGAATTTACCTGGGCATGTGCTTTTTTGTACATTGATAGTAACAGAGTTGTCTGAGGTCTGTCTTACTGTCACACTAGTCAGGTACAAAGAGAAGGAGTTGAGAGACAGATGAACAGTCATTTAGCATAACTAGAGATGGCAGATTTCTTTAGTAAAATAGTAAAATATCATGAAACTAGTTAATAAAGGATAGAAGAACATTTCTCTAAATTATATCTGTCACTTGAATACTTGGAGCTAACTCGCTAAATTGTCATGACTTTCATATACAGTTCTCTCTGCCACTATGAGACTGATGAGCCTTTTAATGCAAATTCTTCTCGTTATCAGATTGATTCCTCAGCATTTGATAGCCTCTCCTTCTGGGTAATTAGATGGTCAAAAATATTCTGATTAATCTGTGTGGAATCAACTAAAAGCATTTAATTAGAAAACTCCACCCTTCAAAGAAGTTTTAGCAAACCTAAAATAGGGGGTTTGACGGGAATTTGTCTGATTGTTGACAAAATTCCATTTCTTCTCCTATCCTCCCTCCCTCATCTGAGTACTCTGGGTGCTTCAGGTCCTGGATCCCAGAGCGATCTAATGGAGAGAATGGGGAGCAGTGTTTATGAGGCACAAATTCAGGGGAATACTGCAGGACCAAGAAAGAGGTTCTAGACAGTCCCTTGGTGCCCAGATTGCTCAGGGGAAGCCAATCAGAGGAAGCCTCCAGTAGCTCATCAGTGAAACCATAGTTTTCTGTTATGGTGACCCTGCAAGAGACTGTCACATATGCACTACGTATCTTTCAGATATGATAAACTTCTAAGATGTACTTGCCAGGGCAAAATGTTTAAAGTAGCTGTATAAACCCAAAGCTTTTGAAAAGTGACTCCTGATTTAAGTGGCCTTCAGTTTTGAGTTCCAATTTCTCACAAGATACCTTTCTTTTCAGGTATCACACTTTCGGATTTTTTCTTAAATACTTTTCAGGTCCTCAAAATATTGAGCAACTGCTCTGTGGAAGTCAAAACCCTCAGGAGTCCCTAGTGTCAGAAGCCAAAAGGGCAAGTAACCAGAAATCCCCTGCTGCTCTGTAGTGGCAGTTCGTTCTGCTTCCTAGTTCCAGCAGTTAGATAATTGAAAGTGGCTCACTATTTCCTGAGTGATTAAGAAGAACAAGTATGAATTCTCATCACTCTCAGATAAAAATATTAGGTCATTCGTTTCTGGGTTATTTTTTTTTTTGGTGATGCTCTCCTAGGAGAGGGGAGACTTTAGCTTACAGGGAAAAATCAGAACAATTTTAATATCTAGATATTCTGGTATTTGATGTATTAATTAGGAGATAGCACTGGTTACTGAAACAAATGTACTACAGAAATAAGAAATTACATATTTTGCTCACGACAGACGGAGTGAAAACATAAGATCACATTATGCTCTCATAACAGTTGATATAATTTTTGTTCTCTTGTTTTCAGACAAATTGTACCTGATTTACTATAATAAAAGACCATAATCTGGTCCGTATTCCAAGGCACTTCTTATTTCTTTCCAAGATGCTTTTGGATGTAAAACTGAACAAGAATTACAGGCAAAAGACTCTTCTGTCAGTTACAAAAAAAAATAATAAATGGTTCTAGTCTTTTATTGCCTATGTTTCACTGGTAAATGTAAATAGTGAAAATTCACAAACAAATTCTTTCCAAAGCATGAGATCACAACACTAAAAACTACTTGCATTTTGAGTTCTTTTAATTATTTAGTCTACTAGCTGTTGAGAATTTCTAGTTGGTTTTCAAGATTTTTCTTGTAGCAAGCTAAATACTTGCTTGAAAAGAAAACAAAGAAAGCCAAATTGAGGTTCTGGGTGAATTCTGGACTAAAAGAGAAACACCAGGTATGGAAAACTCACAAGAAAATTACAGGACATGCCAAAATTACACTTTTACACTGTCTGGTGATATAAAGAAAATTGGAATTAAGCTTTGAATTTTATTTCAATTGCAATAAACTAAGAATTAACTATGATTTACTAATTATTGGTCTGTCAGCTTTATGTCCAAAATTACACAACTTTCTTAAATATTTTTATGTTGTTACAGTTATTTTTTACAGCATTTACTACAATACAGTCATTGCTACCGTACTGTGAAAAGAATAAAGGGAAAATTCACTGATATATTTTGCATCAGCCATTGAACACCATGGAATTGTCAGTATTCCTCCACAAAACCAGAAGAAATACAAATAAAGTATGGTCTAGTGGTGCTCAAGAGTGTTTAGGTGATCATTAAAGATCTTGTAGAGATTGACAGCATAAACACCTTCACATTTCTTTAAAACAGAAACTTTTCCTTTGACTTAAAAATGTTCTATACGTCACAAAAGTTTGCATATGACAAAGCAAAAATAACTTTAAACAGGTTTCAGCTGTTCAATAGTTGTGTTTGTTAGTATCTACCTACTACAGAATAGAAAAGAATTAAATATGGTTTAATCAGCACTGTCAAAAAGGTACTAAAATTAACTTGGCAGGAAGGATAAAGTTTTGTCTCTCCATATGATCAATGCTCATACACTAAAGTTATTTGACCTGTTAAGAGATACATAAAAC